AATTCAGCTTTTAATCTTGGAGTTTTCCATGCTGCTGGTAATTTCCAATGAAGGATTTTTTTAGTTTCTACTTACACTTTTTTTTTGGTTCGAAAATCACAAAAATTCAACTTTTTCCCCTTGCTAACGCAGCTTCTTTCAGATTGCGTTTTACTGAAATTCACTGAAAAAGAAGTGAAAGAAATCCGAAAAAATTCAAGTGTTTTACGAGAATTATTGAAAGAACGTCATATCACATTCAGGCCTGAAGATGCTCTCATCATATCAAAAGGAATTTTGAAATTCAGTCTACGCACCATTCACTTCAGTCCAGTTTCAACCGATCAAAGACCGGAATGCTACCGAATTGATGTAAGTTTTACTTTTTTACTTGATTTTTTTGTATAGCAAAAATCATATAATTGCTTCGTCAACTTATATTAGTTGTAATTTTTTTGAAATCATACAATAAGTGACGTAGTCAAAAATTTTCGAAAAAAATTTTTTGGTGCACTGGAAGTTCTGTATGGTATAGAGGCAAGCAAAAGAGGATAGGGAAGAGAAAAAAAAATCTTCTAGCATTTTCACAAGGAAAAATCGTGGGATAATACTTATTGAATGAGAAATATCTTAATAAAAACGAAAATTGAAATTTTTGCACTTGCGATGACACAGCTGCGCCCGGCGAGTAATATCACTAGCTTGGGTACCCAAACCGACTATTCGTAGTACTTTTTTTGCGTATATACGCAATAATGAAATGTTTCTGTAAACTGTTTGTACTCTGAGAATCGCTGAATATTTAGGTTTCGGTAATATTTGACAATTCGCGACATACAGGACAAGTGTACATATATTTATCAACAGTAATTAGCTATGTTACTTTGTGCAGTGGTCGAGTATTGCATGGTATATTTTTTTTCCCCCAGAATAAAAAAAATTATTATTTAATAGTATGTTTGGCAATATTCCAGATTTCTGAAATCGTGAGAATCGTTTTGGAACTCATCATTTTTTTACTTTCTTGAAATTTTTTGGGAGTTAAAATTTTAAAAAAAAAGTGCTCCAGCAGCTGAAGCGAGCATACCGATCCTGAAAAAATAGGTAGTTATTCAAGTACCATGAAAAGTTTGAAGGAGTTATGAATTTTTTTTCAATTTTTTTTTGTAAAAAGTTTATAGGAGTTATGAATTTTTTTTTTATAAAAGGTGTAGTGGGGTCATGAATTTTTTTCACTTTTTTGTAAAAAATTTTAGGAGTTATAATTTTTTTTTACTTTTTTTATAAAAAATTTATGGAAATTTCGAATTTTTTTTACTTTTTTTGCATTTTTTTGAATAAAATTGCATAGCACAGATGTAAATTCTTACTTCTTTTTCAGGTGGTGGTATATTTTTGGTAAGCATTATCATATTTATCATTGATATGTTGGTGCTACTGATGTGTATTGCATCATTTGTCCTATGCTGTCGTGCGCTTCTTCGGGCTCATCTACTGAAATTAGTCAGTTTTTTTCCTCAGATTTAAGAATTTTGATAATATTTGTAATTGCTTCTATATAGAAACAATTATTTTGACTAGGCTGACAATAACGAGGTATCATCGTTACCCTGTTTTTTCTTGGAAAAATTTTCACTTAGTAATTATTTTTTATGTATTTATATCCAATTCATGTGTATTAGCTTTTGCTAGCTTTATTTTTACGGTATTTTATTTCCAACTTTTTTATTCTAGTTTAATTTATTTTCAATTTTTATTTTTAGTTTTTTAAAATGTGCTCTGTATTTGAATTCGGTA